TGCCAGGAGAATCATTGGGATTTTCTCTGAACCTCATTTGTGTGCCTAAAGAGTGGCTTTTCACCAGATAGCTTGAGGTCTGATTTTGTGTGTGCCACCTAGAAGTTCTGTGCTAGGTCCTCTGTCAGTGAATTAAATTAAATAAGCATATGCACGAAGTGGTGGGATGGGGTATATCTCATCTGGCATATGCATTTTAATTTTGGGGGAAGAGGGAGCTTCATATTAATCTCTTTCAATTTTCCTCTATGCCTTTATTCTCTGGAGGAAGGAGTCCCCATAAACTCCAGGTACATAACACAATATTTCACATCTCTTGCTTAGAATGAACCTAGGGTCTGTAAAGATCCAGCTTTCTTTGAGTTCTTCTTAAGTTGCATCTCTGCTTTAGTTATGTCAAGCATCTAATAATGTTCTTGATGAAAAAAATAAGTCTGTGCCTGTATGATTGAAACAGACTGTCTAATACCAGTGATTCAGACTAAGCAGCTATCAGTAGGTTCGTAGGTGAAATACTTACTGCACCGAAAACGATTCCAAGATACCCATTGATTTCAGCAGTATCAGGCTTTCATCCGGTGTCCGGCACCTCCCAAACCGTGGATTTTATTTGATAACTACAAAACTCTTTAAATTAGAGAGTCAATCTACTGTTTGGGGCTGAGATCAGGACAGTTCTGAGAAGAATGAAAAGTCTGTTCCGATAATGGCCAGTAATAAATCTCTTCTATGATGTGAAGATCAATCAACTGGCAACTTTCTGGCCATAGATGTTATAATCTGAATCTGCCAGCAGAGGTCTCCAACAGAGTTCTAGATCTAGATCTGTTCTTTCTATGATATGCTAAAAGTACTACTCCTTCATCAGTTTGTGGGATATTTGTTTATGTGGGTTGATTATCGATTGATCTCTTTTTTAAACATAAGAAGAAAAGAACACTTAATGTTCAGGGTCCAGGATTTAGTGAGACTTGGAAAAAATCCAAGTTGGCTGGCTTTTTAATAGCATTGTGTATAGCATATCTGCCCAACTTTCGTGAATTATACCTTCTACTTTTCATCTGGAAAGCATTTTGCAAGCACTGACTAGATTAACTGCATGTATAAGATGACTTGCATGTACAAGTGTTTGCAGAACTGTAGATTTCACTTGTGTCTTATCCAGAGGCATCTGTTACTCTGAATTACAGCACAGTTCATAAATGGCGGTTCCATAGTCCAAGAGTGCACAAGAATCTGGGGAAATTGATTGTGATTAATATGTGCTATTAATATGCCCAGAAATAGCCTGGTACTTCTAAACATGAGGCAAACTAAGCATATAAATGAACTGTTCCCTTTCTTGAAGCTGTGAATTTTGCTGGGGTTTATATTTCTTCCCAGGATCTAAGTACTAATGGTAGGTTTAAAAATTATATCCAGCAATGAAAGGCCTGATCTAAAGCTAAGCTTAGTCAGTGGAAAGGCTTCTGTTTGTTGTGCTCTGGATTGGTCTTTAGATGGTGCTGCTGTATCAGGCTTAAAAATGCTAATCCCAGGAGGCTAAGATTTAAGAGCATCCCAGTGTATTTGGGCAGGGATGAGGGCCAACTGCTAATGCTGCTCCATGACCAAAGGGGGAGTCGGTGTGGTACTTGCTGATTTTAAAGATAAAACTCCAGATCATACTATGGATTGTAGAACAAAGTGGATTTTAGAGCTACTGTTTTGCATTCTTATCAGTGTGAAGATTTTTGCAGTGATGGCAGCATTGCATCTTCCCAATATGTGAACTGGGACAGAGTGGTTTCAAGGGTTTGTCTGAGCCAGTAGTAGACCCAGAAACATAGTCCTGAAACCATGACTGAAGCCTCCATGCTTTAACTGCCGGATAGGCTGCCTCTATTGACTTTGTGTATGATTGGACACAGTTTGTACAAAGAACAAACATGAATGTCTCAGATGGCATCTCTCGTTTGCATGTACAACTTGAAATGGCACGTGTTAAAAAGGAGGCCACCCTCAGCCTGCTTAAAAGTTATGCTGCTACTCTCCTGGTTTATGCTCTGAGGTACAAGGGGGGATGAAAGTACAAGACAATGTAAATAACATTTTCAGCCCCCCTTCAGCACATCCTTTGGCACACAGCCTTCCTACCTAGTGATTAGGGGCAGTAGCACCTAGTCCAACTGCTGCTCTCATTCCTTGCACTATGGCCTCAAGCAACTATAGTCTATTGGCTATGTCTAGGTAAGACTAAGCTGGTTAGCCCCTCTACAAGCCAATGGCAAGCACTAGTCAGAGAATCTGTTTACTGCTCCCTCCTGGATCAGCAGTAAGTTATAGCTGAGGGAGCAATTGATCCTACATGTTTCAGTGGCAAAATGGCTGGAAGCCTTTACCTTTTCTCCTGTCTTTAGGAACTGCCCTAAACAAGGGTGTGATCTTACTTCTGAGTCTTAAAAATAAATGAGTGCTGTATAACAGTGGGAGGTCAAGAAATACTCCTGGAAGCCTGAGTGTAAACTCACCTGCTTCTGGGGTTAGATAAATAAAGGACACACTCCATGCACTCCAGTTGCTTCTGGCACGAATTATTCGGCATCTAACTTGAAATTCATACTCTGTATTTGGCTCCAATGTGTACTCTGTGCATGGCTTGCTCCTTGCATGCATGTCCCATTCTCTAATCTGAAATTGAAAAACAGCCAGAAACTTTTCTAAGTTGCAATAACTAGCCTCATGCATGCAACAGGCTAGAACATGCCACTAACAGCAACCCCTGCCCAAGTGACTTAGCCCAGAGCAGTGGCAGGAAAGTCTGGCCCACAGGCTGGCTCTGACCAGCAGTGGACTCCATTTCCCAGCAGCCCCTGCCTGTGTGGCTGGGGTCGGTTTCCATGGAGACCCCAGCAGCAGCCATGCTGTGATAGCTGGGGCTGGGGTCTCCATGAAGACCAGCCCCAGCAGTGCAGCAGCAGCACCAGCCTCTTCCTGGTGGAAGGACTGAAGAGGGAGCTGTGTTGTGGGCAGGAGCAGGGTGGGCTCAGCTGCCGTTGCCTGTATAGGACAGGCAACAGCAGCAGTGGTGGCACCGCTGGGAGGGGTAGCTATGGGAGGCTATGGAGAATTTGGGGGTGGCTATAGCTCCCCCCCCCCAATCCCTCCCTAGCACCGCCCCTGCTGGCAGGGCATGCAGCAGGGTAGGGAGATGCTCCGGAGCCTGGCTGGGATCTCACGGCATGGTCCAGAACCAGGGCATGCAGGCTGCAGATTGTGGCTCTGCCCTGGGTCTAGACCATACTGTCACCGCCGCAAGATCCCAGCCAGGCTCCCGAGCAGCTCTGCATCCTGCCGCGTGCCCTGCCAGGGCTGCTGGGGCCAGTTTCCCCAGAAACCCTGGCTTTGCACTATCAGGGTGCAGCTGCTGCTGGGGTCTCCATGGAAACTGGCCCCAGCTATGCAGCCGGGGCTGCTGGGAAACAGAGTCCATCTGCCAGCCAGATCCACCACTTTGCCCACCCCTGTCCTAATCTCTAATCTAAATTTCCTCTGCTGAAGCTTGAGGAAAGCCCATCAGAGAAAAGCTCATCACCATCTTCTCTGTAATTAGATATTTGGCCAGTTCCACTGCACGGGCTCAGCTCAGCTCGCCCCAGGGGCCAGCAGGGGCTCCCTGCCCCTCCTTCCCTGCCCCTGCTCCCTGCTCCCTGTGTGAGCATCTGGACAGCAGCAGCCATGGCAGCTGTGCCTGGAGCTGGCAGAGGGGAGGGGAGGGGAGGGAATGGAGCCCCCTGCCTCACGAGCCTGGCTCTGATACCCTTTCTGGGGTCTTGGGAGGAGTGAGGCCAGGCCTGGATGATGGTTGGGGGGGGCTCCCTTCCCCCCCTCCACGAGTGTCTTGACAGGAGCTGGGCCAGGGTGCAGTAGAAATGGAGACCCCTCACCTCACAGCCCCAACCCAGCTTCCCCCATGACCACAGCTGGGTTAGTTTGGAGGGGGCGGGGGGGGGGGGCTCCATTTGACCCTCTGCCCCAGCTCCATGTGTGGCAGGT